GCCGCCACTGTATGGAACATATTTTCTGCCTCATTCTGTGACAAGAAGCCACATCAGATCACAAAAGAAAGCATTTGAATGGTGTTGTGGAGTAAAAGGAGTAAAAGGGTCTCTTTTGTTAGACAAGTTTAGAAATATGAATACGAGGGAAGTTTAGCTTTAGGCATTTTAGGCATTTTCTGTTTAGCTTGGTTAACGGAAGGCTACCTGCTGCCATCAGAGCAAGTGTAATTACTGCATTCACGTGCTCGGATGCTCTCATTTCTCGAGTTGTACTTTTTAAGTCGGAATGTGAAAACAATATGGACACTCTCGTTACTACAACTATTTGTTGGATTTGTATTATTAGAGCTTTCCGACGTCCATTTTCTCAGTCGGGAAATAATTTTTCACGTGCGGTGCCGGTTAGGGGTGCTCTGATTGATCGGCTGATAATCGCTTTGGGATGATTGATCGGCGGTCTCTAAAAAGGCAGATCTAAAAAAAAACGATCTCAAGCTGATGCCTGCCGTGAGAGGTTTGGCACGACATGCAGCGGCACCGTCTCAGTCTCTGTCAGCCGCGGGTGGAATCATTATAATGCTGAAGGTGAGGTACTCCCCTTCATATTTCTTAATTACATAACTTGCAAAGTAATTTGAAAACCTTGTGTGAGACGTAATTTCACAAACAGCGTGAGTGAATCACCGCGCGCGCTCTCTCTCAATATTCGCAAATGTCTTCAAATCACCACATCACGTCTGTCTATAAGCGAGCTGCACAGTTGACACAGGAATTGTCACTTGCACAATCGAGGCAGTGTCACATCGTCACGAAATCGTCATCGTAAAGTTTATAAATTGCATTACTTTTGAATTCTTGCCAGTTTTTAACCATTCAGTGCTCGCGCGCATTATTATTTGCTTAACCACTTTAAAATGGCTTTTTGGTTGCTTTTAGTCAGAAAATGTAAAGAAAACAACATACATACAGCAAGATAATATAATTTCACTTACCTGGCCTAACACTTGAAGCAAACATCCATCCCTTCTTAAAAGTCTGTGTTAAAAGAGAGCTGCCTGTTGTGCCATTTAAGTAAGCTGACTGCTGTAGCCAATATCCAGCTTAGGCATGTTTTCCCTTTTTTTATTTTTTTTATTTGTATATATAAACTGTTTGAATGACAGCTTGGTAAATCTGTTGTCGATCAAATATTCATCGCTACTCATAAGTACTTGGTACATTATCAGCGCAGCGGGAGACGTTCAAACTAATAGCACGTAATTTACTTCTCTGTGATGATTGGTTGATATATCAGAAGGGAGGCTAGCCTCCCTTGCGAGGTTTCTTTTCTCAACACTCCTCAGCGCTGAAAGTGAACACTCGATGGTGATTGGCTATTTTTTTTTCCAACGGAGGCACGAGAGCTCAGCTCTCCCCCGGCCTCCCCCTCCCCTTCTCTATCACCTAGCGGTTGTAATTACATCAGATTCGGCACATTTGCGATAGAAAAGAAAAACTTCATTAACATGTTATGGTATTACAGCTGTGAAATTACAAACAAAAAATACACATTCTGAGACATGAACTGAAATTAATTGTGAATTTTATTAACATTAAATCGAACATGTTATGGTATTACAGCTGTGAAATTACAAACAAAAAATACACATTCTGAGACATGAACTGAAATTAATTGTGAATTTTATTAACATTTAAATCGTCTTCCTCCCATTTTCACCTCAAAATTTTGGGGAAGCTGTGCATCCCCTGCCTCCCCCGACGAGCCGCCACTGTATGGAACATATTTTCTGCCTCATTCTGTGACAAGAAGCCACATCAGATCACAAAAGAAAGCATTTGAATGGTGTTGTGGAGTAAAAGGGTTATAATGTTCTCTTTTGTTAGACAAGTTTAGAAATATGAATACGAGGGAAGTTTAGCTTTAGGCATTTTCATTTAAGCATGTTTAGCTTGGTTAACGGAAGGCTACCTGCTGCCATCAGAGCAAGTGTAATTACTGCATTCACGTGCTCGGATGCTCTCATTTCTCGAGTTGTACTTTTTAAGTCGGAATGTGAAAACAATATGGACACTCTCGTTACTACAACTATTTGTTGGATTTGTATTATTAGAGCTTTCCGACTTGAGTTCACGTGCATTTTTTTCAGTCGGGAAATTATATTTCACATGCTGTGATGCGGTGATGATGCTTCTTACATCCGTTTCAGAGAACCAGAGGACAAGTATTTCAATCGATCGCTCAGGCATGGCACCGAAATCTGCGTTCTGATTCTGTTCTAGTACATACCGGTTACATGGGTACCGGTGACATATTGGTACCGGGTTTCGGTACCCAAACCTAGCTATACCACATGTGAAACATTGGACTTTTTATTGCAAATTGAAATTCTTTATTATGGCAGGGAATGCAGTGCTTCCCAAATTTTGTTGTTGTCTTGGGTACTCTCAAAGGCCCATCAGTAGCTATGGTTCCATGATCCATCCACATATTTTAAGCAAATTTTGGGATATTGCTTAAACTGCCAAGATGCACACAAAATATTAAAACGTGCATTAAAAAAAACATTTTTTAAAATCAAATAAGACATGCAAATAAACAAAGATGTAAACAAATTTTACAGAATACATTCCTTGATGCCCAACAAGCGCACTGACTTTGCCTCAACATATCATGTGATTGGATAACTGCTCTAACAGTGCACCAATCTCATCACACACCTCAAGTGTAATTTTAATAATTTTCAAATGCCTGAGCCAAAGTCCGTCACCAAAATGATTTGGTATAATCACCTCCCATAACTGTCCCACACGATTGCATTCAGACAAACATCAGGATGGATGAAAACAGGCCTAGCTAGTCAGACACAAATACCCTTTCATCAAATCAGAGGTTTGTCCTTTCAAACAAATACAGGGCGGTTAAATTGCTGATTATTACAATTAATCACTTAAACAATCAATATTGTGGGTGGAAAAACAAACTTGGCAAGTTGCTTCCCCTCGTGCTTAAAGCAACATCTATTAGTTTATTGGTTTGAAACATTTGATCAATTGAAAGTGTTGTGAAAAAGTGAGGCTGTACCACTGCAAGTGTCATAAATTGACTTTACTAAAGTTCTGAGTCTTGGGAATAACTAATTTGTGTTTGTTGTTGTTGTTTTTTTAACCCCGCCTCAGTAACTTTCAATAACTGCGATGGAAGAACAAGAACCCTCTTTCAGTCCGTTGACAAGCGGTTTGATGTGGACACGGATGGGACTGTAACTCTGAAGAGACAAGTGACTCTTCATGAAGGCCACAAGGTGTTTTCTGTGCACGCTTGGGACTCCAGTGGCAAGAAGCACACTGTATCTGTCAAAGTTGAGCGTATCCACCATCATAAGGGGCATCACATGGATACAGCCATGAACATCTCCTCTCCAGAGGTACAAACACATTTCATGCAAGAAACTGCTGTGCAATACAGTGCAAGCCTGGCCTCTACTGGACACTTCAGATTTTATGTATGGTACTTTACCGTGGTACTTTAAATTGATGTATTTAGTTATTCATTTCTGTACATGTTTATAATTAGGATAAACGTACCAATTAAGCTCATCAATCTACATTAGGACATTTTTAGTGCACAAGATATCGGTTTCAGTACAAGAAGTTATATTAAAATATTAATCTCTCACACAATAATATTTAATTGTATTTTAAATGACAAAAGCATTTCAATTAAGATGTACATCATTAATTGAAAAAAGTCTGGATGTGCTTAATGAGTACATTTTTGTACCCTTTAAGCACACCCGTTCCCAATAAGCTCACATCTTTTATTTAAAAAAATTCTTGTTTATTTTAAACAACCTTTTTAAAGATCAAATAACACTCGTCAAAAATCAAATAACAAAACAAACCAATAAACTAGCCTCATTATGAAGCCTCTTATTAAATGGTTGTTAACTTTTTTTTTTTTTTATATTCTCTTATGCCTGGAATACACTAAACGATTTTTGCCCCGGTTTTCCATAAATTTACAGTCTGAAGAAGTTGATGCTAGTTGCCAAAGGTCAGAGCCAGTCTGCAGATTTGACTTGACTGATTCCATAGAAAATCGTGTAGTATGATGGATCACAGACTCAGATTTTTTTAGTTTCAGACTTTGATTCCATCCAGTCGGAGGAGATCAAACTTGTTTGATATTTTCAGCCAATTTTAGAACACGTTGTTTTCATTTGTCATATGTCTCCTAGCAACAATGCACACATTTCTGCTGGAGTTTGTTGTGATCGGAACAATTTGAAAGTCTGGAAATGTATGATCCTCAGTTGTTTAGTGTATGATGCCCAGTTTTCCTTTGTGACAATTTACAAAGTCAGTAAGCGAATGATGCCTGGTGTTTTAAAAATCTGTTCAAATTTTAAGTCGTGTTGTGTATTCCAGCCTTTAGTCACTTTTTTCCTGGACAGATACGACAGGTTTCTGTTGGCTCCTTCTTTGTACGGACGACATGCCTCTTTCATCTTTGTGCATGAACTATAGTTACATCTAGATTTTGTCATCTTAAAGCTGTGAAAATAAGTTATTAATTTTATAAAGATTAACTTAGTGACAACCATCAGTTAATATTTAAAGTCTGTTTATGACGTATTTACATAAGTTCAATGTGGAAGAGCTTAAAGGGAGCACACTGAGCTTAATTGGAGCAGCAACAAGTTTGAATTAATAAATATTACATGACATTTTAAAGGACAAGATTTAGCTAAATAAATAATCTAGGTCATGTATTAAGTTTAAACAATGTAATATGAACAACTATTATTGACTATCTATGAAATTATACTTTCTTATTGATAACTGAAACTGTGATTTTCATAATAGTGCACCCTTTAAGTTCACCTTACAATAATATGAAGTCTTTAAAAATTACAACAGCGTAAAACCACAGACCAGCAATAAACTGTAAATTTATAATATTATAGATTTAAAAATACAAAGCAGTAATGCCTGTGAAGTAATATATTAGTGTAGCACACAATCTTATACAGCTAGTCAGCTAACTGTGTTCTGTAGCTTCTGCGCTGTGTTGCTAAAACTATCTTTTGGATCTAACTAATTATTTCCCACATCCAAGTTCCAGGTTATAATATGCAATAAATTTTGCAGTGAGTAGTGAAACTTACACAAAATAAAGGCTTAAACATCTAAAAAAAAAAAAAAGCACATTTAAGGGGCTCCTCTTCTGGTGAAAGTTTTCAGACAGCTTTCAAAATGGCCGCCAGACAGTGTGAACACATGGATAGCCATATCTCAGTGTGCAATAGTCTGATTGACTTGAAATTTCAGGAGGTATGTAGTAACAAACAAATCAGTTGGTTAAGACACCAAGTAGGATAATACATGATTTTTTCTTTTTATAATCTGAGCTCAAAAATGGTAGTGTGCTTAATGGGTACGTGAGCTTAAAGGGTTAGTTCACCCAAAAATGAAAATTAGGCTGCGTTTTACTCACCCCCGAGGCATCCTAGGTGTATATGACTTTCTTCTTTCAGACGAATCCACTCGGAGTTATATAAAAAATTGTCTTTGATCTTTCAAGCGGTTTAATGCCACTCAGTGGGTGTTGCATTGCTTCGGTCCAAAATAACTTAAATAAAAATCACTCATCCATTAAAAAAAAGTGTTTCACACAGCTCCGGGGGTTGAACAAAGGCCTTCTGTAGCGAATCGATGCATTTTTGTAAGAAAAATATCCATATTCAAAACGTAATAATCACTTTAATGTAGCTTGCGCTCACTGTTGTAAACGGAAGCAGTTCCGGGGGAACGCATCGATTCGCTACAGAAGGCCATTGTTCACCCCCCGGAGCCGTGTGAGAGACTTTTCTTTTCTTTTTAATGGATGAGCGATTTTTATTTAAGTTCTTTTGGACTGAAGCAATACATCAACCGCTGAGTGGCATTGAACAGCTTGAAAGATCAAAGACAATTTTTAATATAACTCCGACTGGATTCGTCTGAAAGAAGAAAGTCATATACACCTAGGATGCCTCGGGGGTGAGTAAAACGCAGCCTAATTTTCATTTTTGGGTGAGCTAACCCTTTAATAGGTACGTTTACACTATTAAAGATGTTCAATTCATTGAATTTTCTATCCATACTGATGAATATTTGTTCTAGCCTATTGGTCTAAAACAAAATGCGTCTGCAGATGTTTAATTTATGCAGTGCTAAAACCTAATGCCTAGGATTTCCAACACTTTCCTGTATTCTGCTCCATTTATTATACAAATTGGAATAATGTACATCCAGCCAGGAAATGAAGAGTTCTCAAATTACCCTAAATTGGTTTATTAAATGGCGGCCCATAAATTTTACTCCCCACATATTAATACTGTTTTTACCAGAACAATTTTAGTAGTCAGTAGCTGTAATAAACGTTTTGATATTCAGAAGTTTCAAGTTGCCTTAGTCACGCACGGGAATCAGCAAATGCCAAAATGTTGTTTTTCCTGTTCACTAGTATAAAAGTGTTCCGTCTTTAATTGTAAACAAATGTTTTGTCGTTTAGTGTCTTTTACTAACACATTTATCTAATATTTTTAGATGGAATTGCCCTCTGATCAGGTTCTGACTTTTCTAAAGTCTTCAACGGGTCTGAAGAGAGCAAAGAGAGGTTGGGTTATTCCTCCAGTCAATGTACCTGAGAATAGCAGAGGACCGTTCCCAATGAAGCTGGTCCAGGTGAGTGGAAATCATGAAAGGACTGTTCAGAATTAGACGGATGAGAGAGGTTTGTTTGTCATTGACTTTGTTCTCTTGTTGCTTTCTGTGTTTAGATAAAGTCCGACTATGCCCTGGAAACTCGAATGCAATACAGCATCACAGGTGAAGGGGCAAATCAGGACCCAAAGGGAATTTTCACTGTTGAAAGATTATCAGGGAATCTCTATGTGACTCAGCCACTCGACAGAGAAAAAAAAGCTTCATACAAAGTAAGTTGATTTTTAGTCTCTTAAACATTTAAAATCAACATTTAGTTCTTGGTGTATTTTTAAGCATTGATCACTCTTGATTCTTTGAAAACTGTCCTCTTTTCATCAGATTTATTTTCATGTGTTTGCATGAGACCTTGCATTTTAAATTTGTATATCTACTAAAGATGAAGTCAGTTTTCTTGCATATCAGTGTCTCAAAGCTAATAGACATGGACTAAAGTACTTGAAAGAAACTCATTCAGTATTTGCCCCTTAACATGCCCAAATTTATTCTAATTTCTTTAGCTTATAGCTCATGCTACAGCACTTGATGTGAATAATATAGCAGAAAAACCAATGGAAATTGTCATCAATGTGATCGACCAAAATGATAATAAGCCTGTGTTTACTCAAAATCCTTTTAATGGATATGTTCATGAAGCTGCTGGAAAAGGTAGGTGTATGGTGCAGTTTCTCAATAAAATAGCTTTTTAGCTATTTTTTTCTCTTCAAATGCCTCTGCAGCTTTTACCACCTAATTAGTCTTTATTCCCTCACCAAAGATTATGAGTTTATGACGGTCACAGCTACTGATGCAGATGACCCAGATACGAACAACGGTATAGTCAGCTATGCAATTGTCAGCCAAGAGCCACAATTTCCAAAACCGAACATGTTTGATATCAACGTTTTATCTGGAACCATTCGTGTGCGAGAATCAGACATGGACAGAGAGGTGAGAAGTGACATTTGATGAATCTCAAAGTGGTGATAAAATGACTTGATGTAAACAAACTCATCAGTTATCTTCCTTTTCAGCAATGGCCCAGATATACTTTGTTAATTGTGGCTGCTGACATGGAAGGAGATGGTTTGGCAGCCACTGGCACAGCTGTTATTACGATTACTGACAGCAATGATAACCCACCACAGTTTGAGCAAACTTTGGTAATGTATATTTATGTATTCAGAGTGTTTTACTATACCATTTATAGGTGTTTGAACTCCTTAATACTTAATGCATACCATACATCTCCTTATTTTAGCACACCGTATCCGTTCCAGAAAATAAAGTGGGGGCTGTAGTGGCTAAACTTACAGCTACTGATGAAGATGAAGTTGGATCACCTACCTGGTCAACCAAGTATCGTATTATTAGTGGTGACAAGGGTGGGTTTTTCAATGTCAGTACTGGACCCAGCCAGCTGGAGGGCATCATCACCACTGTAAAGGTACTGTGTGATGCTCATATGTTTCTTCAGTGAATTAATTGTGATGACATACCTTAGTAAAAGATGCTTTCTTTTCTATTTAGCCCCTGGACTTTGAGAAGACCAAGCAATACGTTCTGTCTGTGATTGTTGAGAACGATGATCCTTTTGTTGATTCTTTGCCCACTTCCACTGCCACAGTCACGGTGAATGTAGAAGATGTGAATGAGCCTCCCGAGTTTAATCCAAAGGAGAAGGTTATTTTCAAATCTGAAGATTCACCAATTGATACTGAATTGGTTGCTTATACAGCCACTGATCCAGACACTGGAAAATCACAGAAGATAATGTAAGTAATATAATTTATTTATTTTTTTTTATCGTTTCCTTTTCTGACTGATTTCTCTAGAGGCTACCAGGTATTATAGTGAATAAAAATCCAATAAATATAATCGCACTGATAGTATATCAGCATTGATATACTGTTCATAATTCAGACTTTTTTTTTTTTTTTTTAATCTAGAGCTGTGCAATTAATTTCGGCCTCCCAACGATTATGAAAATACAATAATCTAGAAAAATATTATTGCGCCCCTTTCCGCTTTAGTTCCTCCATAAACGCCCAATTTCACGTGCAAATCCGTAAAATCATGTAACGTAACTTTCGCAAAATGGTACGTGCTTGATTTATCAAAGTTGATTAGATTTATTCATGTTTTTAAAAGCACGAAAGAGCACTTGTTCCTCAAGAGAGCTGTTCCTCAGGAGGCTTTCTGTGCATGCGCTCGGATGGAACAGAATACGGATGTGTAAAGTCAACTTTTAGCTTAAGGTGCGCACCTAAACGGTCAAATACATGCAAAAATGTGTCAAAATGCGGCGCTTGGTGATTATTCTCACAAACCCTCGTCGGTTATGTAGTATATCAACGTAAACAGTTGAGAATGAAAATACGTGTGTAACAATAAATTGGATCTGTGCGGCTCTTAAAGTGACAGCAGGCTATATTCAATAATTTACTCACCCCCATGTCATCCAAGATGTTCATGATTTTTCCAGAAAAATCCTGGAATGTTTTCCTCAAAAACCTTAATTTCTTTTCGACTGAAAAAAGAAGGACATGAACATCTTGGATGACATTATCAGATTTATCAGAATTTTTATTCTGGAAGTGAACTAATACTTTAAAGTCTGTTTCATATATCTTTTTATAACAAGATGTATGTATGGCAATAACAACTCTTTGTACCACAGAATTTGAAGGCTGCGGATAACGATCCCACAGCACCCCCATACGACTCCCTCCTGGTGTTTGACTATGAAGGAGGAGGCTCCGATGCGGGTTCACTCAGCTCCCTCAACTCTTCCTGCTCAGGACAGGACCAAGACTATGACTTCCTCAATGAGTGGGGCCCACGCTTTAAGAAGCTGGCAGACATGTTTGGAGGAGGAGAGGATTAAGATTATTTATTTTTTCCCTCTGCGCAAGAGGCACATTGATGGTTTAAAAGTGCAAAAATATGAGACAATTTTGTACTTCAGTTTATGTTCTGGTGAATTCCATACTATGTTTAAAGTTGGAACTGGAATAATAGCACTGTTCATGCATCAGCATAAACAAAGGTTCTTTGACTTGAAGTGTTTTCTTTTTATGGGAGCAGTCTTGGGAGGAACTTGCCTTTTTTTTTCCCCTCTCTCCTCATCCCCTCTTTAAATGAAGCTCCCAACTGAAAAGGCGTTCAATATTTGCTCTGATTTGCTCAGTAGGTAAAAAGCTATAATACGGCTTAAGATGTTTGTCCAAAGCTGTGTTCCTGTATATTTTATGTAATGCTTTTTGAGAAATGAGCATTCTTTCAACATTTTGCTACCTTTTGTTAACTTTGGCATTAAAGATTGCTCTAAAGCATGAATGATACTGTAAATATACCATTTTTGAAAAGCACTAATTTTTCAAAAACTTTGTATGATATTTTTTTAGGAGTCTTATTTCTGTCCGTTTTTTCCTTCTCAGCTGCAAGGATGTTGACTTTTTTATGTATTTATTCATTTTTATTTTTTTATATATAGTTATGATTTAGGCATTGTTTTACACTGCATATTTTATTAAACAAATTACTTTTACTCTTTGTTTACAAGTGTTCGGTCTACAGCACATCTCACACTATACTCAAACATGGAATAATCTTAGTTTAACGTTTTGTTCATTTCTGAGTCAGACTGTGGTAACTTTATTTTACAGTGACCTTGTTATATACAGTATATATTACATATACTTACTATAGCAAGAACCATAAATTATGCATATGAAAGCAACTAATCCTAACTCTATAGTGAGTACATGCTTTAAAATTACAATTACTCTGTAATTATGCTGCAAAAAGGATACCAGATAAGATGTAACTAAAACTGTATCGAACAAGAATAACAGCAGGATTCAAAGTTTAGTGGTTGTTGATTGAAGCGAGAGAAGCGAGTTTTGTGTACTGAAATGGAGGTATTTGAATTTGGTATTTTCTGCAGCATAGCCTTGTAGAGCTAGTTATTGTGTTCTCTTCAAATAACTTTTCTCTTACAAGGCAGTGTAACTTCATTTCAGTCTCACTATACCTATATACAGTTGTCAGAATTATTGCCCCCCTTGGTAAATATATGCAAAGAAGGCTGTGAAAATTAATCCGCATTGTTTATCCTTTTGATTTTACATTTAAATTCACAAAAATCCATCCTTTCATTGAATTAAAACAATTGAAAGTGGTGAGGAAATTATGAAAAGTTTTTTTAGCACACCAGTGACTAGGAACATCAAATTATCCAGTCATGGCTTTTTCACAGGAGTACAAATATGAGGCAACAAAAAAGCCAAATTCCCTTAATCATCCATCATCACAAATGAGTAAAACCAAAGAATATAGTTCTGATATGCAGCAAAAGATTGTTGAGCTTTACAACTAGAGATGTTACGAATCTGCCTGTTAGAGAATGTGTCTATATTGTCTTAATCCAAGGCAAGGAGAACCGTCTCCAAGGATCACAACCGGAGAATCACAACCAAGGAATGTACTGAACTATTCGCCTACAGTGGCCTGTGTGAAACTATGATGCCTTGACCACCAGCTTGGTCAAGATTTTAAACATGAAAATGCAATGCTATATTTTAATGTGCACGAAAAAAAAGTAGTTTAGAGTTTCCTTTGAAACAATTTTCACTTAGAAATTGATAGTAGATTTCAAAAATACGAATAAAGTATTTTAAAGATAAAAATACAAGATGAGAAGTGTTGAATTAATCATGACATTTTGAAGTAGAACAATTGAAATGGTATTTAATTGTAAAACTCCAATAAGCTTTTATTTACAACTTTTTCCCCCCAGTGTATTTAAGATTGTTCTTGTAAGCTGTGGGGGTGGAAGGGACACATCAATTTTGCGCTGGGGCCCATGCAATCTCTTTCTTCCAAGGAACAACAAAAGGGCATGTTAGTGACCTTGCATGAGGATGAGAAAATGATGACTATTTAAATATTTGGGAAACAATTATCCCTTTAACAAGCTTTAAAAAACACTATAAAGCCTAAAAAAATAGAAACGTATAGAAAAATATCACACTTGATGCACATGTGAGTACACTAAGGATACACTATATGGCGATGTCGGATACAGGTGTAGACTTTCCTTTTTAATGAAATGTCTAGAATCTCTTCAGAGCATTTAGTTTATGGTTCTTTCAAATAAATAACGCTTCTATTAAGCTAGTAGTGCAGTATTTCAGTGTATTTCAGTCATGGTGTCCACTCAAAGCATTTGTAAACGTCACTCCTCCTGTAGTTGTGCATTAACACATCGCTGGCATTTATCAACAACATTCCATTATTACAATACATATTACAATAAGTCCTATCCTCCATTTCTGTCAAATTGAGATGTTGCAAAAGTCATGATGACTCTTCCAGTAAGTGAATATATGTGCAGCTGATGTGGGAATTTTGAGAGAGTAACCATGTCAGCACTGACTAATGAACAGAGGAACTAATGACAAATACAAGGCTGTAACGCAGTAAGTTACCAATTAGAAATGAGCTACAGTGTGAACTCACTCTCATACATGAGCACCACCCTCCCGAAGTTGTCTTTTTTAAAAAATATAACAAATTTATATAACAAAATATAATGAATGGATGGATAGATAACCCACACCAAATTAATATTTGTTTCCAGTTTTATTTGCAATTTTGAACGGAATTAAAATATTTGCTATACATTATTTTAGCATTTTAAATTAAAATGTTTGAAATAAAATGGGGATCCGTTGCGGAAGGAATTGGTGATAGAATAGGGAATAATTATTTTGAAACAACGAAACCCATTCAGAAGTGGAGTAGGTTGTACAGTAGGCTACTTTGTGCTTGACATTAATTAAAAGGTTCAGGGATGTTGCATTTGTTAATTTGTAACAAATATGAGAAGGTTATATGAGCAATAGGCCTATCACTCTCGTACTAGAGCGATACCGGCTCTATATCAGCATGGCTGTGATTAGGCCAGAGGCACGAGGCCGCAGGCAATCACAGCCGCTGATATAGAGCCGCTATCGCTCGAATACGAGAGTGATATTGCGTTTATACAACAGTTCGACGGAACATGTGTGTAATTAAACAAGAAACAACGGAGTGCCTAATAAAACCCTCTTTTGTTCGGAACTACTTCCTTCCGCCACGGATTCAAAGCTCAAGTTGACAGTTAAACATACGTCACTTTTAGAATTTGTATGGCATGTGCTGCTTCAGTTAGGTTATTAGTGAGAAATAATTAGGTTATAGGAGAGAAACAATGCGGCAAGACGTGCATCCAAATGAGAGAGAGAGAGACCGCGAAGCTAGACGTTTCTTCTTATATTGACTAACGTACTCTACGATTAGCTCAGTGAATAATTAAAGGGGTCATATGATGCGATTTCAATTTTTCCTTTCTCTTTGGAGTGTTACAAGCTCTTGGTGCATAAAGAAGATCTGTAAAGTTGCAAAGACTAAAGTCTCAAATCCAAAGAGATATTCTTTATAAAAGTTAAGAGTCAGCCACACCTACCTAAAACGACTCGTTCTAACACGCCCCCACATATCTACCTCACTATGTGGGAAGATTTGCATAACGCCGCCCAAATGTTCACGTAAAGAAAGAAGGTGTAACTTTTATACTCACTGTAGTATTGTTGCCGCTTTCCGCCATGTCCTGAAGACGCTGTGTGCTTCGTTGTGAACGTGAAACTACTTTGTTTGGTCTCAGATTTGAGAACCAGAACGAACTGTTGTATAAAAAAGGTTGAGACACAGCACAGAAAATAGAATTAATATATGTTAAAATAAATGTGTTACAAGACTTTCTTGTCACCCCTATGCAACTGAAAAGTTTAACATATTATGGAGTCTTTAAACGTAATTTAATTTTTACATTAAAATTAAGATTTTAGACATTTCAGTGAGGCATTTATGTTCTTGGGACGGGACAGAACAATACAATGAAGTGAAATAAACAACAAATGAGAAAGAAAATATAAGATAAACTATAAGATAAACTCAAACTTATTTAAATTAGCCTGAGAAATGTAACAAGTCATCTACGCCTCCTGATTCAATTATTATTTATATTTATTATTTAAAAAGATTTATTTACTTTTTCGTTTGTTTGTTTAGGCTAGTTATTTATTCATTTAAGCATTAAACGATTCACCATATTTTAAGCACTGAACCCTAATATTTTCACTCCTACATGTAGGCTACTGTAGCTTAAATGTCTAAAATAAGTTTGATCTAAAAGCTATTGTCTGTTTCTCAACGAGCTGTCTAATAGAAAGTGTGCGTGAAAAGAAAAGAAAAGATACTCACTGGGGAAACGTTTCATCAAAACAAAGTTTTGTTTTAATCGCACGTATGCACCTGTTTGCTGCGGAATATCGGCACAAACATGGTACATGGTTCCGCCCTCTTACACTTGTTCTTTCATTCTGATTGGTTGAGCAAGATGTCTATGATCATTTCCGTCTAGCCTGCACCTGACTCTCTCTTCTCTACTCGAGAATGTGGCGCAAAGACAACCTCCAAGCATCAGCTATTTATTCAACACACCATCTCCCACTCAGAACTCTTGCTCGTGCAGGCCTGCTAGTGTTAGTCAGGTATCAAAAGTAATTTCCTCTAAAAGACCAAAGATACGATGCCAAGGTCTTTCTTGGTGAAGAAACAGCTTACTAACAAGAAGCCTGACTATGGTGAGTTGGATTCAAAAAAACACGGTAAGTTGTACGTTTCTCGTTTATCTAGCTTGTTAATGGTTGTGAAAACTGGTTGTTCCGTAGCCTAATGCCACATATCTCTATTTGTTTGATATTTTGATTATTATTATTTTATTATATCATATTGGATTTTGTTTTCGATATTTGCATCGTAGTAATATTAAGAACATATATTGGAATTTTAAGTGCAGTTTTAATATAAATACATTCAATACTAATTTAATAAATGCTATATATATATATAGCATTTATTAAATTAGTATTACATGTATTTATATTAAAACTGCAGTTTGTTAATGTGAATGACTGGAGGGGAAGAATAAATGATTTGCATTATAAGTTAATATCATTCGGACTTTACAAATTAGTACATATTTGGAAATCATACAGTTTTTACAAAATAGTTAATATGGGCATCACTTTTAAAATGCTTATAAATGGTGCAGAAACCTTAAGATTTATAATATCTTAATACTAAATACTAAATATTGTAGAAACTTAATTTTCTGTAAAGTTGCTTTGCAAACGATTTGTATCGTGAAAAGCGCTATACAAATAAACTTGAATTGAATTGAATTGAATATTATTATTTCCCTGATTAAGACTTTTTAAAAAGTACAAATTTTACATATAGTCTTTCAATTAATATGAGATCATACAAATGCCATTCATGATTATCATACACAAATAATAATAATTTAAAAAAATGTTTCAGAT